CCCCTCCCTCTCTCCCTCTCTCTCTCTCTGTGTGTGTGTGTGTGTGTGTGTGTGTGTAGCGGGCGTGTATAACACAGCTACCCCATATACAATGGGGAACCAGACCATGTATATGTCCAATCGTAAACACGCGACAAGTTAGCAGCAGGCTTAACACATATTGGTTTTAAGAGGGGGAAATTTAGTCATCAACTCCATACCAGGAGGATGCATGTTAGTTCTGCATCATCAATTAGGGGGGAGCAGATTAGAGGTTAGACTGAGGTTAGAGATGGCTGTTGAAGACAGCCATAGGGGGGTGCACGTCATCTCCCTTGCCACCAGAGTCACCAATCAGTAGGTCCTCGTCATCCATGCCCCCCCCATCCTCCTTCAGCTCCACATGAAAGGGGGTGGCTTCATCTTGCAGGGAGTCTTCTGTGGTGAGGAGCTGCTTCCTCATTATGTAGGCCAGGGAGTCTGCCATCACTTCGGCTGGGCACATTTTGCCTGCGACCCTAGCGACAATGGAGCGCTGCCAGCGGGCAGACGCAAGTTGCGCGGTTGAGCGCTGCCAGCAGGCAGTGCGATGCCAGGTGGAGCCCTGCCAGCCAGGTGGTGCGCTGTCAGCGGGCGGCGCGATGCCAGGTGGAGCACTGCCAGCATGCGGTGTGCTGCCAGGTGGAGTGCTGCTAGCAGGAGGGGGGATGTCGGGGGAGTGCTCTTAGCGGGCCGTGCGCTTCCAGGTGGAGCGCTGCTAGCGGCGGTGCGCTGCCAGGTGGAGTGCCGCTAGCGGGCGGTGCGCTGCCAGGTGGAATGCTGCTAGTGGGCGGTGCGCTGCCAGGTGGAGCAGCGCTCGTGCGCAGCTGCGGAGCCGTATCTGCTGCGTAAAGGTTAATAAGGGGAGTCGTCAGAACACTGCCACATCAGCAAAGGAAATGAGGGAGGTGACATCACAGGGATACGGACTTTGAGCGCTGCTACTCTACAAGGGGGATGGTGGCGTCTCTAGTTGACAAAGAGGAGAGAGAGGTGATGGTCTTCTGTTCTGTTTCGTGCTGATCTCCTGGCGTCGCAGGCTGGCACAGGTAGAGAGGGGGGGTTGGTGTTCTGCTTCGTGGCACGAACCTTCAGGCATTGGTAACCTCAGTGTGACTGAGGATACTTTGCTTCATGGGGTGGGACGTTCTCTTCGACTTTGGCCAGCTTTCAGTTTCAGCGTCCTGGTGGATTTGTCGTCGACCTTCACTCGTACTGCGTTGCCAACAGCGGTAATCTTCATCATCATCATCATCGACATTTTTCATAATGTGGGGATAATGGCGGTAATTTTCATCATCAGTATCATCATCATCTTCATCGTCTGACGTATCAAGGGTTGTCTCTCCTTTACACTTGGCGTCTTTCTACGTGGCTCTCTCCTGCTTCATCTTCTTCTCTTCCTTTGGGGGTGATAATGGGCAGAAGTGGAGGAGGGAAGGGTGTGGGAGGGGCTGGGTTATGTAGGAGGAATGCACGAATCTATTTTTCAGAAATACTCTTACTATGACTCTCATCAATTTTATTCCTATTTAATTTCTCTTCTTCTGTTTTATTCTTAGTCACTTATATGTCTGAAACTATATTCTCAAATGTCATCGAAATTATCGTAATTATCATCTCCAATTAAAATCCCAACTAAAATCCTATCGAAATTATCGTAATTATCATCTCCAATTAAAATCCCAACTAAAACCCTGATAATTTCCCAATATTTTCCTGATCATCTGTACCTTAAACCTTGGCTCTTCACGATAGACCAATCTGAACGGTATTTTTAATACCTAAAAATCTCTAGTTAATCAATTTCTAATTCCTTAGT